CTATGGTATTCGAACTTAAGAAGTTTGTTTAAGGATTTGAATTCTCTATCCTTTTCTTAGAAAGGATTGCCATTCCATATTTGCCTATAAATACATATCCTAAAGGCTATCAAATTGCATTGATTAGAAACTATTAGAAATTGGAAGACAAAGATGCAATTGAAACTCCTCACGACCAAATATTAGATTCATATTTCTCTATTAACTTTTTGAACACATCCATCATTATTAACCCTTACATTGCAAATAATTAAGAAATAAATATGATTAGAAAAGAAATAATAAAATGATCCCTTCAATAATTAAGAAATTAATCAAATCAGATCATATTTGACATATAGTTGGGTAGGGATTCTCTTCAAATCAATATTACCTTTATTGTTCTTTTTTCTATTTTTCCTTTTGCTTTAGATTACGATGGCTCTTCATGCTTTATTTGATCAACTTCTTCCCTGTATGTGAATAATTAAGATATCAATTGAATTATATCTACTTTATTAAGCATTGAGTAATTGATCATCTTTTCAAGTCAATATTAACTCGAATAATGAATTAAATTTTCAAACTTGAAAGGCGATGGGTGAATAGCGACGCATAGATCATCAGTGGATTTCATCCATCAATTGAATGGATTCAAGCCACATCGCATTTGCTTCCAGTGCCTTCTGAACAGAGTTGTGATGAATTAATGAAGAAAAGATGAGAGAGATGATCGAGTGGCGGGCTAATCTAAGCTCTCTTCAATCGTTGAGTTGCAATATAGAGTGAAGATGGTGAAGAGAGAGAGTAATAGCAGGGAGAAAGGGGAATGATAAAGAAGGTCTAATTGGATTGAAAATAGGTAAGAGAACGACAAAAGAGGTTAGATTGGTTTGAACATAGAGAAGGTGAAAGACAAAGGGATCCATGGGAAAAGAGCCAAGCAAGATCAAAGAGGTTTTGGAGAATTTGAAAGGTTTTACAAAAGAACCTTTTGAAAGAGGGAAAGGAAGATGGATAGTGGAAGAGGCGGTGGAGGAAGGGAAGGAGACACAAAAATGTAATAGCGTACAAAAACATCAGAGAAACAAAAGTATTTAATTTTCCCAAAATGGAAAGATAGGACACGCATCAAAAAATTGTAAATACAAAAAAGCCTATTAAGATGAGACCTGTTATATACTTTGAATGGATTTTGCTTTATATATATATAGATATATTTTTAATTTTGGTTGGAGGGTACAGTCGTCATGCGAATTTGTGCAAGCAAACGAGTCACGAGTCGAGCAAATAATTCAAGGGAATAACCCTTTAGTCCCTGAACTAATTTTCTTTCGTAATTTAGCAAGTAAACTTAATATTTTGCCCAATTAAGTTCTTGTCCTGTGTCCCATCTAACAAAACTATTTGGGCACATTTAGCTGCTTAGGGATGGTAGTAGGTCAACTCAAAGATTTAAATGCTTAAAATTTGTAAATTTTCTTAATTTGAGCAAATACGAAAAGTCCTTTGGATTTTTATATCATTTATATTAAAATTTGTTGATTTTCATTATTATAATTTTCTTGGTTTTTAAAAAATAACTTTTTATTTTGTTAATTGAGTGCTCCACAATACAAAAATAATATATATTTGCAATGTTATACGATATTATAAATTTATAATTATATAAAATATGTCATTATATGTTTGATTTTTTTATTTATGAATTCACTTGTTATATTATATATTTGTCTATTTTTTTTTATAAATACATGTCTACTTACTTAATAACACATGGTAAAAAGAATTTATATTTGACTAAGTAATGTATTTTGTGTGGGTACTCTACAAATTTTTATTTCTAAGAATTTGGTTTACTTTATTACTTTTGATAAAATGACTAAAAGTCTATTTGAGTAGATTGTTGTAAGAAACATTTAAATTATGAATGCATATAAAAAAATCATAAAAATATTAAAAATTGGAAAAATATCAAATTCAAAGTTCAATAACAAAAAATCTACTTCAAAAGTAATATATTTCAAGTTTGAATTTCTAACTCTTTAATTTTAAAAAAATTCAAAACATTTTAAAAAGATTGCATTTAGCTCAACTTCACAATTTTGCCTAGTAACCACTAGAAATTATGCCTATTTAACTTTCTTAAACCATTAGAACCTGATGTAAATTGTTAGGCAAGGAAAATCTATGGGTTTTTTTTTTTAAACGGCCTTAAGGATGTTTTATGGTTATGTTTGGTAAAACATAAAAAAGAAGGCCTTTTTTTTTTATTTGTACTATCCCATTAATTTTCATCACTTTGTTTAAATAAGGGCAAATTTTGGGGGTGGGCCAATTTTGTTAGAAAAGTTGATTGGATAAGTTCTTTTATAGACAGATGATATTAAGTGACTATTTCTATTAAATTTCATCTTAACTAACCATATTGTATACCATTAGGGGTTTATTTAAACCAAAATTAAATTTTAGTTTTGAATTGAAAAACGAGAATAGATTCAGAAGCAAACTAGAAGATGATTCATGGTCAGGAACTCAGTGGAGATTGTAGTGTGGAGAAGATTCTTTTACTAGGGCCGTGGAGTACATCTATTTTCATATTTGGAGGACCATAGATGCGGCGAATAAGTGTAAAGGCACAATCAAATAAGGCCACATTGCTTAAGTTTTCGTTTGGATTTTTTTCTTTATGAATATTTTTATGAGATAATAGGTTTTTTTATCTTCAATTTTAGAATAAGAGAGAAATTTTTCTTATTACTTAACTCATTTATTCTCATATCATATAATTTGAATTAAAAATCTTTTATTTTTATTAAAAAAATTACTATTAAACTATTTAGATCATTAAAAAAAGATAACAGATTTATAATTTGTTTTTATGTAATGATTCTCTTTATTAATGATAATAAAATATATAGTTTATATAAAATAGATTATACATCACTTTTTTGTAATTTTATTTGGAATTTAAGGTGTTATCCTATAGTATTAGTTTGCATTCCAAATAATTTGTTCAAATAAATAAAAAATTTGACTACTTTGGGAATTGCCATAATTCTAGAACTTAGAATTATATGATTATGGTCTAATTCACACTAAAGTTAATGCATCTAAAATTAAATTGTAACCCATCACGTTAAATTTAATTATCACCAAACTCTATCAATAATTATCCCCTAACTTAATTATAGAGTATTTAAAATAAATTGTTACATAAAAAGTCCTTATCCATTGCATAAATAAATAAAATTTTAAATTTCAATGTCTCATAACCAGATAATTCATAATATAAATATGAATTTATTTATCATTTTGCCAAAAAATATATTTTCTTTATTTTTACGATATGATCAATTATGGTACATTTGAAAATGACGAATTGTGTTAGAGATAAACCATGTATCCTTTCTCTATCGTAAGAAAGACTTTAATAAAGTGAATTACAAAAAATACAATTCATTATTACGAATTATGTCACCTTTAGGGCTCAGATTTGCCTCCCTTTATTGTGACTTAACTAGTAGCTAATCTTCAGTAATATTGTACTAGCTATCATTGTTTCTTTCATTAATGGAATCAACACTATGTCTAGTATTAAAAAAAAAAAAGGTGATAGGGGCAATGGAAAAAGGAAACAAGAGTTTCTCTTTTTGGGGGATTTTTTCTTCTCTTCCTTTGAATGGAACTGATTCGTTCAAAATGTTTATTGGCAACAAATTTTTTACAATAGCTCCATAATAGAAAATGCGTAAATATATTAATTAGTACATTAATTTATGTGTTTCATTTAAACGTAAAGAATTTATGAAAATTACAGCATATTATATTGTAAGATTTTATCAATAATAAATAATGCCAACAAACTATTTTTAGTAGATGAAAACTTATGGATGAAAATGGGAGGAAAACAAAAGAAATGAAGAGAGTTTCCTCCAATTAAATGAACAAAAGGGGACCCAACATTCATTTAGTTTGGATAATAAGGATTAGGGAAATTATTTTTGTACAACCTTTTTATCTTAACTTTTTATCTTACCTTGTTGTACAACTTGACGTGTCTTTTAAATAATTGGTTCTTTTAATTCATTTGAGACCCGTAATATTGAATACATCCATTCATTTAATGACATATAAAAGTTGTATAAAAAAATGGTATAAAAAAGTTATCCTTATAGCACCATTTTAAAGATTAGCAAGTTATGAGTGACTTTTAGCATATGTTGCATGTTTGTAGGGTTTATCCTTTTGCAATCTATTGTTTTATTAGGACAAAGATGACAACCTTGTGCTTTTAGACAATGAAATTTGACAGTAACATGGATAGGATGCCCCATAACATCTAAATATATAATTATGACATGCTATTAAATAAATTATTGAGATAATAACACAATATTTTAAACTGAGCCTATAAGATCTAATAAAGTTAAAATCCTAAGACTTTAAAAGGAAAACTCATTCTTTGGATGAAAGGCACTTAATAGTTGAGATCTCACCATGAGAATACCAACTCTCGGGTTATAAATATTACCACACCTCAAAGGTTAATCATTCATTTTCCATTTTCCAATCTCTCTCTATATACTTTATAGTTTCTTACTAAGAAGCCTAAAGTATTATTAATTTGATCATTGGAGTGCCTTCCCAATATCGACACTGAGTTTATTTTGTAGGTCTCCTCATGCTAATCTTCTTAATCAACCTTAAGTTTGAATTTATATATTAATATGAGTGAATACATAAAATATTATAGATGAATTTTCAAATAAAAAATTAATTATGTAGTAATAGGTCTTGTAAACTTCCAATGCCACCTAACATTTTAATTTCTATAATTTCTTACAAAATTAGTTTAACAAATGTTTTCCATTAAAAATGAGGCAAAAAAAAGTTGGATTGGGTTCTAATTCTAATAAATGCCGCAACGTGTACCCACCAGATATACACACGCACCACGAACGTCACGTTTGCTATACCGCCATTTTCCCGCCCCCCCAGTTCTATAACCCCATTTTCCCGCCTTCACCTCCAAAACCCTATTGTCTCTGCTAAGACAGATTCTCCTTGCTTTTGGTCCGCAAAATCGATAACTTGAACCTGCATCTCGATCACAGAAATGAACGACGGCGATAATAGACGGCGAGATCGCAGAGACCTTCGGGCCACAAAGAAGCGGAGGTTCATCCGCACCGCGGAAGAGGAGCTCGATTCCAAGCTCGGCTTTGATCTCTTCTCCGAAGGCGAAAAGCGCCTTGGTTGGCTACTCACGTTCGCTTCGGTAGGTTAATTTTGCCATCACAGCCACCGCGTCTGTACTTCATCTTCTAGAGACATTTATTGATTTATTTAATATATTTTCAATTCCATTTTGTAGTCATCCTGGGATGATCCTGACACTCGCAAAGTCTACAGCTGCGTCGATCTTTATTTTGTTTGTCAGGTGAAAAATGAAAATTACCTTTGTTCAAGTTTTTAATTTGATTTTTCTTTCTTGGTTCCGTTTGAAAAATTATTTAATCTTGCCCTATTTTTGTTTGTGGAAATTTCTCTTGGAAAATGCAGGATGGCTCATGTTTTAAGTCGAAGTATATCTTTCGGCCTTATTTTTATGCCCTCACTAAAGTATATTTCCTCAATCTTTCTTTAGTTTATTATGGTGCTACTGTCTTTATTTGCCCTTCAACATTATAATGACTGTTGGTATTAATTAATGCTATAGGATAAAATGGAAATGGATGTAGAAGGGTATTTGAGAAGACGCTATGAAAGGCAGATTGCCCAGATTGAAATTGTAGAGAAGGAGGATCTTGATCTTGTGAGTTACTCTATTTTGCTTAATCATATGGCTAATGATTATTCATCTTAATACTTTTAGTACGGGGATTAATTACCATGCATATATTTTCCTTGTATTTTTGTTGTAATGTATTGGGTATATGCTCCTGGTTAGTTGGCATCATATGCTCACAGCATTGTTATGCCTATGGTCACAGCATTGTTATGCCTATGGTTGGAAATGCTCAAGTTGCATAGTCTTTATGTTTTGTAAACCCAATGGAACGGATTCTGATTGCTTTCCATTGCTTATGAACAGAAAAACCATTTGTCTGGTTTATGTAAACGATGTTTAAAGATATCTTTTGATACTGTTCAACAACTGATGGATGTCAAGAGAGATCTAGTGCATGTTGTTGAAAGAAACCGGGAGAAGTTTGATGCTGGAGAAGCATACGAGTCTATATTAATGGGGAAAAGGTAGTATTCTATTTTTAAAGGAAAAATGTTCAACATTATTATGTGCTTTTTTTTTTTTTTTTGCACCATGGTGCTTAGCTTCACCTATCTTTTCGCCTTTTCCTCCTGTTTGTAGGTTGCCTCATGATTGGCCCTCCATACTCCTAAGTTTTTTACTAACAGTTCAAAGAGTTATAATTAGAGATTTACTACCACATCCCACTGTCTCCTCATTATCCTTCGTATTTCTAGTAGGCAATAAAATTTGTAAGGTAGCTTCACTGGGTTTAGCCTGTCTACTACTACTAGATGGAGAAAAAGGATAAGAATTTTTTCCAGAAAAGAAAGTTGGTGGTTGCTAACTTTCTATATCTTTCCGATGGAATAATTGTGCTTCATTTGCAGAGAACAAAGGGCTGAAGATTTTCTGGATTATATTGTTGATCTCCGAGAATATGATGTTCCTTACCATGTCCGCTTTGCCATTGACAATGGTAATTTCTTTGTTTATCCTTCTGCCACTGAAACTTATTATCAGAAATAATTTTATGCCATCTTGTTTATTTAGAAACTTGATATGAACTCTTATTCCTTTCCTAACACTGAGAATGTAATCCAATTAGATGTTAGATGTGGACAGTGGTATGACGTTAGTGTATCTAGTACTGGTGTCATCCTGGAGAAAAGGACTGATCTTCTGCAACGTGCTGAAGTTCGTGTTTGTGCATTCGATATTGAAACAACAAAGCTTCCTTTGAAATTTCCAGATGCCGAATATGATTTAGTAATGATGATATCGTACATGGTTGATGGACAAGGATACCTAATTATTAACAGAGAGGTAATGTAATTTGTTTCGAATGACAGTAAATTCTTATTCTCATTCGTTCAAGTCCTTATTTGCATCAACTCTTTCCTGAGTTATGTACATTATATTGCTATATAATTATTTTTATTCATATTTAGCTAGTATTGGTTCATGATATGTTTTGACTTTGTTTTAAGTTTCATTGGGTTTCCTCCTAGTAAACTTCTTCCTTTTTTTTTTTTTTTTTAATTATTTTATATTTCTGCTTACATTGTAGTTCACCTTCCTTTTTTTACTGTATTCTTCATCTAGTTCCAAAAGATTTGCACATTATGCAACTCTAACTTTGGTTCTACTGAGATTCACTTTGCAACTTAATGTTGGATTTTCATTTGTGCTCAGTGCGTAGGGGAAGATATAGATGATTTGGAGTATTCTCCAAAACCTGAATTTCAAGGTTGTTTCAAAGTTACAAATGTAAAGAATGAGGTAGCAGAACATTCATTAAGTTCATTTGATAAGATTTTCATGATGCTGGTATTCAGTTTTCTCATTCTATGTTTTGGTGTTTGTTTCAGGTAGAACTTCTTAGACAGTGGTTTGCTCACATGCGAGAAGTAAAGCCTGGTATATATGTTACATATAATGGTGATTACTTTGACTGGCCATTCTTGGAAAACAGGGCAGCTTATCATGGGCTTAAAATGATTGATGTATGTAGCCTATTCTTTTTAAATGCATTTATTCAAGCAATCATAATTCAAACTGCAGCAGTGAAAATATTTTCAGCTTCAGTATATATATATATATATGTATATTTTAAATATATCTATATATATATATATCAATTGATAGCCCCTTTTTTGTTAAAGAAGTTATATGGTGCATTAACAAAAGAAGGGCTTTGACTACCATTAGTAACTTTATTTACTTATGGGTAGTCTGTGACTCTTCAACTTAAGGTTGATTTGTTGTTCTATCAACCTTCCTCTTCTGTGATTGTGTCTTTAAAACTTTTACAAATTACAACTACTTTGCCAGTAAATGTCGTCAAATATGGGTAAATCTTTGGTTGGGCTTTTTATTTTTGAAATTCTTACATTTTCTGATTTGGAGATGTAGTTTTGAAAAAACTTTTGAGTTTTGATTCAATTTGATACGTAAGTGTTGGAATGTAATTGCCAATGTGATTGCCAATTACTGCTGCTAATTGTTACATTGGTAAGATGTACACTCCAAGAAGTTATAATTTGCTTTCTGTATGATTTTGTCAACTAAAAATCTTCTGTTCTGTATAGACACTAAGACTAAGATTTGATAATGTGAACCTGAAAATCTTGAAGTTTGAAACAGTATCATATCTGATTGATTTATGTTAGATACATGGAATTAATTCATTTTTAGATGAATTTTTACTTGTTGAAACAATCCAAAGTTTTAAGAAACTGTTAATTTTGATTGAGTTAATTGCTAAATTTTATAATGCATGATTGTATACAACTGTCAAACTTCTATCCCTTTTTTGCAAGTTTCTAGGGATGTGGAAAGGCATGCTTCTAGCTTCCATTCTCAGATGTCTACTTTTATGTTAACCTAAAGTAAGTTAGCAATAGGAGGAGAGGTCCACCTCTAGTATAAGATTGCATTACAGGAAACCCCAAACTTAATTGATGTGGGATAATATCACTTTAAATATCACCCTCATGTGTAAGCCTACTAGAACAAGACAAGACATGAACCAGGCTTTACAAGTGGACAACAGAGGGGCCCAGACAAGATAAGGGCAACAACGTACCTGGTATCTGATGCCTTGTTAAAGAGTGTCCAATCTAAAGCCAATTAGCAATAGGAAGAGAAGCCCAACTTATGATTTAATATCATGAAAAATCCCAAACTTTAACAGATATGGGATAATATCACTTTTACATTGTCAAATGGGTACTGAATCATCTATCTCTTTTTTGTTAGTTCTAGGATCATGGAAAGGTACACTTATAACTTCTGTCCTCTGCTGTTAATTGCCTTTCTACTTTTACGTCAAATGAGATGTAAAGAATCATTTTCAAGTATGGTTCTGCTTCCATTTTTAATCTTAAGAATGACTTGACTTTTATTTTTTATGCCAATATGTCATTATGGCAAGCCTGTGTTTTTTTAGAATATTGTTAACTAAAGGTTTTCCCCCCATTTTTAGTTATTGAACCAATTGTATCTAACTTCCTACTAGTATGTTCTTTTAACCCTCATTATTTCACCCTTTTCTTTGTGATTTTAGGAGTTAGGGTTTCAATGTGACAAGAATCAGGGGGAATGTCGCTCTAAATTTGCTTGCCATTTGGATTGTTTTGCTTGGGTCAAACGTGACAGTTACCTCCCTCAAGGGAGCCATGGCCTCAAGGTGCAGATTTGCAAATATAGTTTACATATCTGCTTTATTAAATTTTATTTGCTGATGGAGGTTTTTATTTTTTAACTGAAAGTTTAAAATAGAGGCTCTTGGTTTTGATTTGTTGAATGCTTAAAATATCTTACATGTTTTTGAGGTGGTTAGCATATGATGCAATGGTGAGGTCTCGGGCTAACAACCTCATGAATCAAGTTCAAGTCATGAGAGTAATCACTTAGAGAAATGCTTGAGGGTAGGAATAGTCAAATTTACTCCTTTAAAGAACCCACTTTAGCAGGATCATAGCTGGGTGTTGATCCTTTATCTATGGCTTCAATCCTAAGTGTTTTTATTTTTCTTGGATATGACACTGAATGCTTTACGCATGACATTATTAGTCATCAACCATAGTGAAGTTATTTATTTATTTATTTTTTTGGTTTCTTGGTTGGAAACCATAATGAAGCTGAAATAGGATTCTTCTAAGCCTTATCTTTTCCTATATCTATCATAAAAGCAACATATTTACTTTTCTTGATCAACTGTTAGGCTGTTACAAAGGCAAAGTTGGGTTATGACCCACTGGAGGTGAATCCAGAGGATATGGTTCGGTTTGCAAAGGAGAGGCCTCAGGTATGACTTATGAGTGATGAGATGTATGTGTTGTTTGCTTACTAGTAATGGCTTGTAAAATTGCAAATATTGTATTATTGATGTGATGAAGGAGGGTAAATAGCTCCTCATTATTAGTTTGCATATGAGGTGGAGTGCAGAAAATGACAACTGTTAGTCTGCAGTTGCTGGCAAGAAGTTTGTTATTATTTTCTAAAGTGATTCATGCATGGAAAGATTTGGAAAAAGTGGTTCCCTACCTTCAGGGTGGGTAAAAAGGGTTTTGAGGTTAAATTCATGGGAACATACCTGTAACTCTTGAAATCAAACTTCAAAATAAAGAATCAGGAACACATTTAGACCCAATAGATATTATTTTAGAGTTATCAAATCTTCCTAATATTAGATACAAACAATAATTCTGACTTGAACCTTAAACTTGCTTGACACATTGTCTATGCCGTTGCTATTAGGTGGATCTAATCCAATTTGGCTTGTGATAATGTTTCTATATGGATCCTGTCAACATATGTGTTTTGCCTGTTTGTCCATTTTCTTAATAAGAGTTTTCTTACTCTATTTATGTTTTTGGTTGTTGACATTATTACATCAGACAATGGCCTCATATTCTGTTTCTGATGCTGTGGCTACATATTACTTGTATATGACCTATGTTCATCCCTTCATCTTCTCTTTGGCAACTATAATTCCTATGTCACCTGATGAGGTTTTGAGGAAAGGTAGTGGGACACTTTGTGAAATGCTTCTCATGGTCCAGGTATATTTTGTACTCTTTTCCACAAGGTCTTCCCACTTCTCTTTATTGACTAAAGTCTTTCAGCAGTTGGTCACTTCATTATTGCATTTTCCACAGGCGTACAAGGCAAATGTTATTTGCCCTAACAAACATCAGTCTGATCCTGAAAAGTTCTATAAGAATCACCTTCTTGAGAGTGAAACTTATATTGGTGGCCATGTGGAGTGCCTTGAAAGTGGTGTCTTCAGATCTGATCTTCCAACTAGTTTTAAGCTTGATCCATCTGCCTACGAGGTAACTTGGTTCCATTGGTTACACTTTTCTTTTTTTCCCTTTTTTCTTTTATTTTATTTTATTTTCTTGCGGTTACATATTTTCTAACCAATTTAAAATGCCATAAGAGTTGGTCTGATTACTTTATGTTCCAACCTTAATGGTTTTCTGGTATGACAAATTATATTTCCTTGTTCAAAAAGGTCAAGTTGTATAGAATCAAGTCTTGTGTTGTTTTGCTAGCTTAACATTCCTAGGACACATTAGAATCTAGCAATTTTTTTTTTTTTTTTGTATATTTTTAGTTAGTTTAGTTTATC